TGCAAATTACCTACAAATCATGGTCTACTATTTTTGCCCATGATTTTGCAAAATCACAGTTTATAATTTTGCTCACTTTGTGACTTGTGATTTTACAAAAATCATAGTTTGCAATTTCATACTGTGTCATTGGAAATTATCTTATAATACTAAAATATAGTCATTTCACACAAACCACGTGCACACCCGTGTTGTGCTAGCAAAGTGTGCTTCTAAAGTGTCTCATTGCACTGTGCATTGTGCAGTAGTAAGTCTCTATACTTTCCTCTATAATTTTAAGGATTGTAAACAAGTTTTTACTTGAAAGCTCAAATCAGATTCATAAATTCTCTAATATAAGAAGTTAAAACAAAGAGTTTTGGTAGAAACTTTAAAACCATTTTCAAGGTACATGTGTTAGTTTGCTTTATCATGTAATTAATCATGAAATTAAAATCCAACATAAACTACTCGATAGTTTTTGTTTTTTTTTTTGAAGTCGTAAGGCAAATTCATTCAACTAACTACTCTCAATACAATCAACTTAAAGATCAGAAATGATAAAAGGGGGAGGGACTACCCAAGATTGATACTATTCTGTGAGAGCACAACAGTCATTAATGATGAAACTGATACGCCAACAATAATCAGAGCATCCCCTCCGAAGATTGGAGATTGAGATCCAAAGGCCATTGAATAGCAAGTAGAAAAGCTAGCCCCTCAGCCTCCTCAGGTGAACAACAGGGAAGGATCTTAAATCTAGCAGACAAACAAACAACACAAGAGTCACAAATAATGACCCCGACAGCAGCAGCAATGTTGATCTTCACCAAGTTTAAAGGGGGACGACGTTGCTAATGAGTGACTCGAACAGTGTGATACCATGGTTTTCAAAAGTGGACCGGACCAGACCAAATGATTGGACTGGAAAAATCAGGAACGACCGATTCTGGTTTTTCTCAAAATTGGATTTTCTCCAAAAATCATTGGTCAGTAAATTACTGATTTAGGTGATTAACTGTTCAAACTGTTTTGACCATTTTTTATTTTTTTGTCAGAATGGATTGATCGTTTGATTTGAATGATCGAACCATTTAACCCAAAAATCGGACCCCTGACCAGTTCGTTCTCTGATTCAATTTTAAAAACCATGATGGATACCACTAGGATTGGGATGGGCAATAATAGGATAAGCATATCCGAAAATAAGAAATTAAGGTGGGATGAAGTAGAGGTACAACCGAGAGCGTTTAGGGTCAGCCTTGTTAAAGATATATATATATATAGCATCGTAAAGGTGTTCCACATGTGCCAAGGAAAGCATCACCAGTGAGAAAATAATGCAAAGGACCAAAATTAAGGAGTCATCACAATCTGCCAGCAACCAAGATGATAACCAATCCAAAAGAGAATAGTTTGGCAAGAGGTCAATGTGCAGTGCCAATGGAGACTGGACGGTCCAATGAAACATTATTAAAAGGTCCAATGGACTCAGTTGGTAACCCTTCTCAACCACTTGAAATCATTTCTTCTGAATGCCTCAGATCGGGTCTGATTGGGTTGCAAGTTTTTATCTATGTTTTTCTTTAAGACAACAGTGACAGTACTTCAGTTTGGCTTTATCATCTTTTCTCTTTTAGTTTGCATCCTGGTAATGTTATTGATTTTCATAATTAATAGAGAACACTTTTGATGAATTGATCCAGCTGCTTCAAGTAGGTGTATCAATTGGACCGGATTTGGTCCAATTGTCTGATCTGGTCCAATGAATCCATTACAGAAGGACGAGGTTTCAATCTAATTCGATAAATATTCTGGACCATTTTGGACCAGTCCAATTTAATATTTGGACCGTCCAATATGTTTAAATTAATTTTAATTTAGGTTGGTTCCAATCCACATCCCTTCCATTAATGCCTGTATTCTTATCTTCTATAAATGGACTGGATATTGATGCTTCAATTCAATCCAATACAATATAAATCTATTATGGATGGACCGGATCCAATCCAATCCAATAAATACTTTAGATCGTTAAGACTGGATTAGTCCAATTCAATGTCTTATTAGTCTATCTAATCCATCCAAATTAATTTTGATTTGGACAAGTCCAACCCAAAACCAGTCAATTGACACCCCTAATTACAAGAAATGAAATTGAACCACACCTCATTCCATTTTCATGGATTAATTCTTGGAAACATAGTTTCTTTTATTTTAGCATGTGTTTTTGTTTGAGCCTATATGTTTCCAAGAAAGACTATAAGTGGGCGTTCTACGGCTTATTTCTGTAGTTTTTTTTTTTTTTAATTTTTTGGTCCAGTTGCATTTCAATTGGACCAGTTTAGATTTGGTTTATATGAATTTGGACCAGATTGAATCTATCCATTTGTAAATGGACCCATATTGGACTAGATCGAATTGGACCAAAGTCTCATGCAATTGACACTCTTACAGATCCGAACCATACTGCCTTAGCAATCGGGTAGTAAAAAAGCAAGTGAGAGACAGAATATTGGCTAGTTCCAAGAAATGAAATTGAACCACACCTAATTCCATTTTTATGGATTAACCATTTCACTTTTGTCAAAATCCCCCAACTCAAGAGCCTCAGTTATGCATACAAACTTTTCATTGACGTTTATGCAAGTTTTTCTCTCTAGCAAAGTTTAAAAGTATGAACATATCCTGATTTATCAAATTCCCAATAGGATTTAAGGGCTTTGAAATAAGAATTCCACAAACTCTGATTCCTTGTTTTTGAGGGATTTGAGGGGTTTGATACCGTTTTACAAACCAGATTGGACTGGCAGTTGAATCGTTTGACCCACGAACTGGTTATATCTCCAGGCCGGTTTTGAGTACATAGAGCCATCTTTTTGGATAAAACTGTTGAATTAGCCAAAGAACCACTGACCCAGGCGGTTAAACCACTAAATCATCCAATCCGGGCAGTGGTTCACAGTTCAATAAAATATTTATTTCTTTTAAAGGATCATTAACAGAGAAAAAATGTGATGTAGAGATGGGAGGGAGAGACGCGATCTCAGGTTTGAGATCACTAAAATCAGAGAGAGCGAAAGAGATTGGAGAGAAACTGTCTAAGATCTGAGAAAGAAAGACCAGAAAGGGTTGGGGGAAAATGTTGCAGCTGCTGTCTATAGCCACTGCTGCCATCATCATCGCTGGTGAACATCACCGGTGAGCATTGCCTCCTCCCCCTCCTCCTCCATCTTCCTTCCTTCCTACTTTTTTTTTCTGTTCTTTTCTTTTCTTCTTTTCTTTCCGTTAGATTAGGATGGTCGAACCACTGACTCGAAAACTGGTGGTCAGAGAGTAGTACCGTTTCCAATTTGATTTTTTAAAACATTGGTTGATACTATCTGTGGTGGGTTAAATAAAATGAAAATTTTGGCTATTACAATAAGAGATTGATATGAACTTAGGAGTAGCTCCAATAAGTGAGAAATTAGGTAAGATGATTTGACCACATGCATAATATAAGTTGATTTATTAGGTAAGAAGAATTGATTTATTATAAGTTGAAGGGAGTAAAAGGATGTGCGAAATAACAATAATAAATGATTTAAGAGCCAATAATACAACCATGTATATGGTGTTAAACAGAATTAATGGAATAGCAAAAAAGGATTGATGATTATAACAATGAAAGAAAGCAAATTTTGGCTATTACAACTTTATAGTCAGCAACTATTTGTGCAAGGGTTGCCAGGGATGGAGTCTCTATATAACTTGATGAATGTAAGACTATTATCCAAAGCTGGCCTAAGAATCTGAGAAGGAATTAAATGGTTAATTTTATCGGCAAATTTTTGCTACTTTTGTTGTGATAGACTTGGAACTAATTAAAAAGTCAGAAAGCAGATTAGATAAAACATTATAGCTGTTTTTGGCTGTGGGACCGCCAATTATTTGCTCTGCACCAATCATAAATGCAACTAAGACTGTGTTTGGTTGCGATGCAAATGAATTCATGTTAATGCAAAATTATGACAGTGCAAATGATTTGAGTGTAAATTCTGACTTAATTTTGTTTTAAATTTAAGCTTATTTTGTTTGATTATAATACAAATGTGTATTGAAATAAATTAAAATATGAAGCAGAATAAAGTAAAACATAAAACAAAATTAAATAAGAATTTGCATTTTTTTCATTTGCACTAGTACAAATAAAATTGCACTGTACATATTTATATTTGTATTCCTTCCAAACTGAGCATTAAGTGCAAATTTTGATTTATTTCTGTTCAAGTTTTTGGTTCATCTTATTTGTTTCCATTGCAAATGAAGTAAAATTAAACCTGAAACAAAAATGAGATAAAGCCCAAAGCAAAAGTGCAAATGAACTCCCATTCTGAGCCTAATGGTTTGAACTCCCATACTTTCGCATCAGTGCAAATGAAATTGCACTGAACTGACAGGGTGGAGCGGGTTATAGTCCTCAATTCTTTTCAGGGTATAGCCGATTAGATCTTTTATATAGATCCCAAATCCCATTCATCTGACGGTCAAAGATTTCCTGTCGCACGTGCTACAGATAAGGCCCATAGATCCTTGTCTGAATCCTCCTCTACTGGAACTCATGCCAGTCCCGAGGGATGCACGTGTAGAGAGCTGACTTGGAGTATCATAATTGAATCTACAGCTAGACTTCCCTACTCTCTTTCTGAGAAAAATAACTGATTTTAACGGTCAGCAACACAAATGAAAGAATTAAAGAAGAAAAGAAAAGAATAAAACCCATTTCATAAGTCGTGCATCACGCCCCCACAAATTCCTTCCCCAAATTTACAAACTTGAAAAGCATGAAACAGAGCCAATTTACTTCAGACAAAGGATCTCTTCACGGTGATGAATTCCTTTCTAGCCTCAAATCTTTCTCTCCAATCCTAACCAAGGAATGTGCTTTCTCCTATTCCTTCACCCTGCCACTCTGACTCCATTGCCAGCAAGAAAACTCTTAATCCTGATCACTAAACTTGTACAGACTAAAAGGAAACTACTACATTAGCTTTAATCTTATTGAAAAATCAATCAAATCAAGCTAAACCCATCTCTATAAATTGCCCAAGTTCTGGTCTTGTCCAACCATAAGTGTCCTGCAACTCTTCCCAGAATTCAGATAGATCTTTTCAAGCTTCTTTCTCCTACCTGGTCCAATGGCTTCTGGGTCAAGTTTCAAACTATCAGACTCCATTGCTGCCAGCATGCCCGAGGCCTTGAGGCAAAGCCAGTACTATATGAAGAGATGCTTTACAACGTATGTCAAGATTTCCCTGCTTCATTGTCCTCTGTCCTATTAAATTTGATAGTGGAGAAGATTCTTGTTCTAATGCATTGACATCTGAAAAACAGGTATGTCTCCAAGGGAAGGAGGTTGATGAAGCGCCAACAACTAATGGATGAAATGGAGAAGACAATAGAAGATAAGCTTGAAAAAACCCAAGTCTTGGAGGACTTCCTTGGTTACATCCTGTCTTCCACTCAGGTATATATCAACCTCTCTCTCTCCCTATCTATCTATATGTCTACCTACCTACCTATCTATCTCTCTATCTATCTATCTATCTCTATCTCTGTTTCATTTTCAATATTTCATGGTTGACCACCTATATCCAAATAATTTTCTAAAAATCACAGGAGGCAGCTGTTGTTCCACCTTGCATTGCATTTGCAGTCAGGCCCAATCCTGGATCCTGGGAATTTGTTAAGGTGAATGCTGATGATTTAGGAGTAGATGCAATAACTTCTTCAGAGTACTTGAAATTTAAAGAAACGATCTTTGATGAGAAATGGTAAGCCCCCTTAACATATTAGTGTTTTAAAATTGACTCACCCTCATATTGCCAATTTTGAACATTGCAACCCGTTGTACACTTGAATAACCCTTCCAAAACAGGCCTAAACAAATTATTGGATTACCTGAGTTTTCATCTAATTGCCCAATAATTGAAGTAACTACCCTTAAGATACTAAATTCATCCAAATTATATCATATCTTCACCATCTTTTCAGAAGTGATGTGCTACTCATGAATTTTCAAAACCCAATGTCATTCACAATCTTAAAGCTTTAGGGGTTCAATAATATCACATAACATACAGGGCAACTGATGAAAATGCATTGGAAGTGGATTTTGGAGCACTTGATTTCTCCATGCCTCAACTGAGCTTATCTTCTTCAATTGGTAATGGAGCTAACTTCATCTCGAAGTTCATGGCATACAAGATAAGGAAACATGCTAAGAGTGCAAATCCATTAGTGGACTACTTAATTGCTCTTAATCATCAAGGAGAGGTACAGAAACAAGATAACCTAACAAGGAACAACCTGCTAATTCTCACATTATATATGGCAGCTATTAATCAATTCCTCTTCGGGTTGAAATTTTTCAGAATCTTATGATCAATGAGACTCTCAACACAGTTGAAAAGCTTCAAACAGCATTGATATTAGCTGATGTATTCCTCTCTTCAAATCCCAAAGATGCACCATATCAGAATTTTGAACAGAGGTATACTATACTTTTCACATTGGTTCTTCATACACTTACATGAACATCAACTTGTAGGCCGTAAAACGTGTTTGTTTTTTCTTATCTTGTGTTAAATCATTTGTACTTTCCAGACTTGCTGAATGGGGTTTCGAGAAAGGATGGGGAGATACCGCAGAAACTGTAAAAGAGACAATGAGATCACTCTCAGAGGTCCTCCAAGCACCAGACCCACTGAACATGGAGAAGTTCTTCAGTAGGCTTCCAACAATTTTCGATGTCGTAATCTTCTCTCCCCATGGATACTTTGGCCAAGCTGATGTCCTTGGCTTGCCAGATACTGGTGGACAGGTATAACTACGGCCAATAATACCAATAAATTTTCATTCATTGTCAATGAATAAGGTTAATGCATCTGTTATTTTAAACAGGTGGTTTACATTTTGGATCAAGTAAGGGCCTTGGAGGAGGAATTGCTCCTTAGAATTAAGAAGCAAGGCCTATATATCAAGCCTCAGATTCTTGTGGTAAGTTAGAATCACTAAAGAATCATATTACGCATAAGTACATTATGTATAGAATAGAATTTATACTTATTGCTTCCTATACAGGTTACAAGACTTATACCAGATGCTCGAGGAACAAAATGCAACCAGGAGTTGGAACCAATCCTTGACACAAAGCACTCCCACATCCTTCGTGTCCCTTTCAGAACAGAAAAAGGTGTCCTACGCCAGTGGGTTTCTCGCTTTGATATTTACCCCTACCTTGAGAGGTTTACTCAGGCAAGTACCCATTGATTCACAAACTTCAGTCTTAGCTTATGCTTCTTTTGTTTCTAAATTCTAATGCAAACCTTATTCATCAATTTTCTGATCTTTCTTGAATTCCTAGGATGCCACTGCCAAGATCCTTGACCATTTTGAAGGGAAACCGGACCTTATTATTGGGAACTACACTGATGGAAACTTGGTGGCATCACTAATGGCAAGCAAACTTGGGATAACTCAGGTCTGATAGTTGATCATTCTTAGGAAAATTGCTAGATTACTATGTTAGAAATTACTGACTTGAGGGTCTCAAAAATAGGGAACCATTGCACACGCTCTGGAGAAGACAAAGTATGAAGACTCAGATATCAAGTGGAAAGAACTAGATGCTAAATATCATTTCTCATGTCAGTTTACAGCTGACGTCATTTCCATGAATACTACTGATTTCATCATCACAAGCACATATCAGGAAATTGCAGGAAGGTTAGACATTAAACCACATTTCAGATTTTTAATCTCCTACTACAGAATCTAAAACCTAGTTGATAATCTTTCAGGCGTATAGAGAGTATATAGAATTTAGCTAGGAAGGATAGAACTGTTTTATTGACTGGCACAGCACAATTATTAAGTACTTATCAAGAAAACACAATTATTAAGTAAACAAGTTTTTGAAAACGTTGGGAGAATTGTGGCAACAATTTTGTGCTGTTATCTACATTTACTATTTTTGCAAGTTTACCATTCAGAAAAAAACATGGAAAGAGACTTAATTGAAATTCAACTAATTCCAAGTGAAATACCATCTATAACAACTAACTTCAGGCTTTTTTTTTCTCTCTCTGCAGTAAAGACAGGCCTGGACAGTATGAAAGTCATGCTGCATTTACACTACCAGGGCTCTGTCGAATTGTCTCAGGCATCAACGTCTTCGATCCCAAATTCAACATTGCTGCCCCTGGGGCTGATCAATCCGTGTACTTCCCTTACGCACAAAAGCAAAAGCGGCTGACCTCATTTCATTCTGCAATTGAAGAACTACTCTACAGTAAGGAGGATAATGATGAACACATGTGAGTCTCCCGGTTAGAATTCATTTACCTCAAACACATGTAGACAAATATGTAGCAAACACTGTGACACCAAAATATGGCATGCCATGTCTAGCATCTTAAGTATGACTTTCTGCATATGCTACTTACCCTGCATAATTTAACTGGTAAGTTTAAAATCTGTCTTTTGTACACTATAACAAAGGAAGAAACTGATAGTATATCAGGAAGTTTCTAACATTCAAACCATTCCTGGAATAGTGGGTTTCTAGAGGACAGGAAAAAGCCCATTATCTTCTCAATGGCAAGGCTCGATATTGTGAAGAATATTACAGGATTAACTGAGTGGTTTGGGAAGAACAAGAGGCTGAGGAATTTGGTTAATTTAGTTGTTGTAGCTGGATTCTTTGACCCATCCAAATCAAAAGACAGAGAAGAAATTGCAGAAATAAAAAAGATGCACAGCCTGATAGACAAGTACCAACTTAAGGGTCAGATCCGATGGATAGCAGCTCAGACCGATCGATTCCGGAATGCAGAACTGTACCGCTGCATTGCTGATACAAAGGGTGCTTTTGTACAGCCTGCTTTATATGAAGCATTCGGCCTTACAGTGATTGAGGCAATGAACTGTGGACTGCCAACCTTTGCAACCAATCAAGGAGGCCCAGCAGAAATCATTGTTGATGGGGTTTCAGGATTCCACATTGATCCTAACAATGGAGATGAATCAAGCAATAAGATTGCTGATTTCTTTGAGAAGTGCAAGGAGGATGTTGAAAACTGGAGAAAGATATCCATAGCTGGTCTTCAACGCATATATGAATGGTAACTAAAAGAGCCTATTACTTTTTATTTACTATATATATAATGCAGAAATCAAAGCTCAAAAAAGACACATATTGATTGTTAGCATACAATATTTATAGCTTATTTTCTCTTCTTCATTTTCTTTTGATGGATCTTTGCAGCTACACATGGAAGATTTATGCAAACAAATTGTTGAACATGGGATCCATTTACAGCTTCTGGAAACAATTGAACAAAGAACAGAAGCAAGCCAAACAAAGATACCTTCAAATGTTCTACAATCTCCAATTTAGAAACTTGGTGAGTTGGTTTACTTAGCTTTTAGGTATTAATTAATAGTTGAGAATGTACCAATAAGTGCTTATTTTTATTGCTGTTGACTTCATTGCAGGTAAAGAATGTACCAATACCAAGTGATGAACCCCAACAACCGCCAGCTCCAAAGCCAAAACCCCAGACAACACAAAGGCATGTTAACTCCATCATGTAGCAACTAAAACATACCAACCTTGTAAAAATATACTTAGGGTCAGTTTGGTTTGCAGGAATAGGGGTCTGGAATCGGAATTGGAATGGGCTATTCCGATTCCAACTGTTTGGTTGGGTGGAATCGGAATCCCATTCCCATTCCTGCTGGAATGGCATTCCCCCATTTGAGGGAATGGCCATTTCCTGTCCCTCCCTTGGGAATGAAATCCCATTCCTGCTGATTTTAATTCCCATTCCCATTCTTGTCTGAACCAAACAGACTATGGGAATGGACCATTCCGATTTCGATTCTGACTACGAACCAAACGGACCCTTAGTTAATTATGTCTCTCAGATTTTCTTCATATTAGTCTGAAAATAGAAGGAACTATCTGCAAAATTGAACTACTTGTCTCATTTCTTTTATAAATTTTTCTTCTAACTATTTACATGGTTGTTTCTTCTGTGTTTATGAAACCAGACGCACATCTTCTCAACGACAAAGTAATGACAATCCCAATCAAATCAACCCAAGATTCCTCCTACTCTCAATGGGGTAATCGCTTATTTGAACAATTTAAATGACTTGTAGGATGTTCAGTCAATTCCTGAATCACATTGGTCTTAGGATTCTATCCTGCTTCAACTCAAAAGAGTATTCCTTGCAGGAATGAGGGTACAGAGATCAATAGTAAAGAGCCAGCGATCAAAAAACTAGTGTCAGAAAGTTCAGAGACCAACTATGAAGATTCAAAGATCAATAAAGAAACCAAGCATGAAGAGGATAATATCAAGCAGCTTGGGTCCCCAAGTAGCAGTCAAGCTTGTCCCAATGGGCGTTGGCAGTGCTTCCTTTTTCTTTCTCTTTTCATCTCTTACATTTTAATAAGGTTGTACCGTCATATCTTTGCCTAACAGCAACTGATCTGATGCATCTAGTAAACTTGTAATGTGTCATGATCTGAATTTTATAATAAAACATGTTGTATCATTCCAAATAAGCTAATTCATTATGGGATCAATAGGACTCTTGCAGTTTCAATTTTGTTTCCATATGAATATCACCAAATGTGAATTTTCTATACAGAAACAGTATAAGATTGTGAATTATCTTTGAGAAATAGTTGGTTTGAGCTTGCATCAAAATGAACTGCCAAGGAATCAAATCAATAATTCAGCATGAAACCCAAAGAGTGACTTGAAGAGAATAAAACTAACTTGAGCCTTCCATAAAAAACAAAAGTCCATAACAACCATATGTACAGTGGAAAGTCATTTTAGTATTTTATAGTATATCAGTTCAGTTAATCCAACTACCAATACTGCCCCATTAATCACCAAAGCAAAGAAAATGCTGGCCATAAAAGAGCCAAGCCTGAAGCACACAAACCATTCAAAATTGTTGGGGAAATGCTTATAAATGGTTTTATATATTCTCTCTTAATAGTAAGTAGGTGGATTATTTATGTGAATCCTCTCAATTCAGTCATCTAATACATATTTATGATGAGATTATTTATGGTAAATTTAATGCTCCTTTTTTGTGGTACTATCAAGCACATCCATTTGTAGCCTATATGGAAGAGAGTTTTGTACACTTTGTTTTTTCATTGTTATAAATTTCCAGTGCTTCTTCCCTTCAACTCAATATGATTTCTACCGTTCATTGTTGTATGAAATACTTGACTCAATTTCCTTTAACAAAGTGTTCCTTGAAAAAAAAAACTTGATTACTCAAAACATGTTAACTCTTATTCCTTTGAAGCTAGCACCAATCTCAAATGAAACATATGCAAACAACTGCAGATTCATCTTCAAGTCAGATGTGCTTAATTCCTCTTCCAGCTGCTCCCATCCACCACCTAAATCCCCTATAAATAAAGCCCTAAGGGAGTGTTCACCAATTTGTATGATTTTGATTTTTTATTTACTAAAATCGTTAGAAGTTAATTTGTAATATAATGAGCATAGAGGTGGAGAATATAAATGTTTAGAGTTGATGTTTTTGTTGGATATCAAGAAAATGTGTTTAAGAGTTCAAGGGCTCCAAGGAGATTCCAAGTTCCAACATGTGTCCTAGTTCAAGTTCTGTAAAGAGCTCTTAAGGTGGGGATAAAACAAGGCACACAATTACCAACAGAGGGATGACATAGTTGGCACAATAGCTGGTTCGTCATAGTAGATGTTAAACAGTGTGTATGCCCTCAGTTCCAACTGATGTATTGTGTATATTTTTGTTGGAATGAAAGAATTTCTATTTCATGTGTCACTACGTTGTTCTACTAAATCCCCTTAATTCATATAAGTATTATGTATGAGACCCCATAGTTATCATAATATGGACTTAAATTTTCAAACAACCAATGAATATACTTAGGAAAGTCTATTCTATCATTCTTATACTGCCTAAGGTGGCGAAGTAGTGGGTTTTAGCTGCTTCAATTGTGAACTAAGGTGTGAGGATGAGTGTTTACAGTAAACATTGAACTAGACCAAAATGTTCTTGGACTTTCTAACAAGTGAAACAACTAGGTGTTGTTTTTAATCCCTAGACTTGATATTGATATTAGATTGAATATTAGACTTGTCTATCTTTGATATGACAAATAGTGAGATCCTTTTAGGGTCAAATACCTTGGTATGTTGAGACATTCAATGATGATATATAGACTAATGATTAATATGATAAGGATCTGCTACTATGTTAAGATATAGAGAATATTTTATATAGCTTCCCCTTTGGAGTCTTGAATTTGTTGATAATATGATCATTTGAATCCTTAATGAAGAATCCATTGGTGTTGGAAGTTTGACACCATGTTATAAAGACAAAGAGGGAAAATGTGGTGTCTAATATAATTAGTAAAGAAATTAATTTCAAGTGATTAATTGGGATGTATTGACTTGATTATCACATAATGGGTTGAACCCATAGACTTGGGCCTTTAGCTTGTGACCTATTGGCTCTCCCTATAAGTTGTGGGTCACATGCCATACAAGCTATAATCTCCCAATTGGATGAGTGTTTTCCATAATTATTAAAGTGTTAATGGAAAATTAAAAGTCTCACATAAGAATCCAAGTCAAAACTATTCACTAGATAGTCTAGTATGATTAGGATTTGACTAGTTTAACTAGTTAATTAGATTTTAATTTAAAGGGTTGAATTAGGAGAGCAAGACTCTCTCCAACTTAATCGTATACATGTTAGGAATCATAAATAGACAAGGAGAGGGCTCTTGAATCCTTCCATAATCTATAAATTGGGACCAATAGGAGGGGATTGAACAATGAAAATCCTCCCCATCATTGTTGAAATGAATCCATGCTTGTGACACCTTTTTAGCAAAGGTTTTCGACCCCATTCGACCAAACCTGTTAGCCAATATTTCTAGCATTCTTATAAATAAATCTTTGTAGCATTGTTCTAGACTTATTTTGGGTCAAAAATATTTCACCCAAACTCATGTGAAAGGTCAAACTTATATTATTGTAAATTTTGGAAAAAATAAATATCCAAGACTGAAAGGTGAAAACACAGTTATACCATCTTCAATTAGTTGTAGTGATTTAGGAAGATTCAAGCTTGAGTGTGAGCACCACTTTGATTTTTGTACTATGGACATCATAATCAAGTACTAACTCAATCTTGACCCAAAAGATTTGATATTTCTTGGTCCAAGAACCCACACAATCTGAGAAGAAAAACCAGTTTTCTCTCTTATGTGATTTTAGCATTAGAGTTTCTATAAAATTTTGAAATTCCACCTTTCTAATTTTTGGAGTTTTTGCACAATATGATCATTAGATTACCATCTTTCAGTACAAACTTGGGAAAGCATCTTACTACCACTAGGGGTTGGGTGTAATGGATATGGGGTAGGTTGTACCAATCCCAAACTGATTATTAATCGAGACGATCATGCCTAACCCAATTGTTTATTTACGACAGTAAACAAAGACTCTGGATCTCCTGCCCACGAGAACTCTGCCCACGTCTACCCACAACACACTACCTTCCATGAATTGGGAACATCTCCCCCTGCATAATACTATGTAGAGGATGAGATGTTCTCCATATATGGCTGCAATAAACGTGGGCAGAGTTTGTGTGCAGGAGATCCAGACTCATAAACAAACACTTTATTTTTTTATATGGTGATCTATAATTATAAAAACGATTGCCTTGATAAAACCAGTGTTTTAACCAAAATTATCTCATAAAAACTATGAAATTTAGGCTCGGTTTGGAGTGAGTACAAATACAAATATGTAGAGTGCAAAACCTTATATTTTTTATGTATTTGTACTATACATATTTGTATTTATACTATGGGCAAATTTCTTAAACTATCCCTATTATTTACCTAATTGACAAACTGTACCCTTACAATATCCTTAAGTTTTTTTTTTTGTTTTTTTGCAGAAAAGCAAAATATCACATTTACCTTCAATTATTTCTCAAAATTTCAAAATAAAACCCAATTCATGACTGATCCATTTTTCAGATGGGATAAAAGGAGATAAGCAAATTTTTAGCAGAATAGGGGGTCTCCCTCTAGTTCATTCTTGGGTTTTTATAGGGCAATTATCCAAGGGTGAAGCCAACGGAACAGTACCAGCCAGTGGCCATGAAGAATAGCAAGAAAATTTTAGAGAAAGGTAGGGAGAGAAGAACTAATGGCCGTGAGCAATAACAGAACGACAAGAGTGGAAGAAAACCTGTGGTAGAAAACCTGTATTATGAGAAAATCTCTCTCTCGACCTGTGTACTCTCCCCCCTCCCCCTTTCTTTTTTCTTGTTTGTCATGGCGGTCAGCCATTCAGAGACGGAACTGTGGAAGGTCCTGCCTTTCCCTAAATCCAACAGGTACTTAGAGACCACCGACAAAAATAACATCTACTTCATGATGGCGGTCAACCATTTGGAGATGCCTAAATCCAACAAATAGTCTCTACTTACTTATATAGACCACCAGCAACAACAGCTTCGATAACATTAACTACCCTATTAATCACTACAACTCCATTAATCAAACTACCCCATTAATCCTTGCAATTCCATTAATCAACTATCCCATTAATGGCGATCTCTTACTGTAACTCTACAGTGACAAAAAATCGAATATCTCAACTCCATTTCTCTTGATTCAAATGGTCCCTAAGAATACTACACCGGCAGCGAGAAAAGATACCAATGCTTCGTGCAGTCTCAGTTGAAACTCATCGGGAACAAGAAGAATGACCCTAGAAACAGGGTACAAAAGACCTAGTTGCAGTAGATTGGAAACCGTGGAGATCTTCCTCATCAAAGAGTCGGATTGCAGTAGGGGAGTAATTAGTCAATTATCAAAAGGGGTTGAACTATGATATAGAAAAGATATCATATCTTAAAGCTCTTAAACCTGATAATCAATCAAGTATTATTTATCAAAATTCATGAGTGGATTTTGATTGATCAAGTGTTATTATAATAAAATATAACAAAAAATACAAGGCCAATCAACTTATAAGAGAAAGAACCAAATCCAACTAAATTATATTAATTAGGACAAAATCATAAAACCAGAACTTACCAGGGAGAGACTACGGTAACCCATGCCTCTAATTACCACAGAGAGACTATGGGTACATGAGTTTCACCCATGCCTCGAATTTTGGAAGAGTTCTGACTTAAGGATACCAAAAGCCTGCTTCAAACCTAGGCTTTTAGGTTGGGCTCATTTATATTTTCAAAAATTCAAAATGGATCTTTACAAGAGTTTCACCCATGCCTCCAATTTTGGAAGAATTCTGACTTGGGCTTTTAGGCTGGGCTCATTTATATTTTCAAAAATTCTGAATGGAACCTTTACAAGTTGTTAAACTAAACTAGTTGATTCCAATTGAAAATTCTGGTTTTTTCAACTAAGAGTAGTGGTGATGAACCAGAAACCGGTGATATCTGGTTTGATGGCAAAGCCGCCCAGAAGAACAAAAGACTGATACATCTACAGTGGTTCTATTTCATTTGAATGAAAAATAACGATAAAATAGTCTTTTTGCTAATTTTGTCAAGTGTTGGTGATGTACCAATCAGACTAGAAATCGGAGACATCTGATTTGATGGTTTAGGAGAACAAAAGGCTGATAGAAATGAACGGGAGCTTATTAGGTTAATTATCAGTTAATTATAACGGGAGCTTATTACGTTATCGTTATATTAAATAACGATAACATCTTATATTATTTTTAATTAAAATATAATTATGAATTTTAAATCCGATTTATGATGTAACGAGATGATAACGGTCGAAACGCTCGTATGTTGTTCTTGCATCTTTCTACTTCCCAGAGCATCTCTACTGATTGCCACAGAAAACCCCTGCATCTTCATCTGAACTAAAGTGAACAATTCATCCCCTTCCTTCTCCGGGCTTGTTACCCGTCCTAAAACAATATTAAAGAAACGTACTCCCAAATGAAGAACAATTTCTTCATGCTTAAACCATCGATGATCCAAAAGTTCTATATTTCGACAAGACTGGCTTCGATCAATGGCCTTCCTTACGATTTCTTTTTGGATAAACAAACAGTTGAAAAACGCGACAAAATATCGAAAATTTTTCGAGTATTGAATCTCCACTAAACAAGATGAGAAGATTAAAGCAAGCACAATTTAAACAGAGTCGATCAGTGGAGAAACTTGCACCTAATACCACAGAAGTCAGAAAACCCCGGATAGTAATAAAGCGTAAAAACTTGTAAAACCAACAACATAATAATAGAAAATATTGTTTTGATGTAATAATAGTAGGTGGATGGATCAGGTTTCTGGCTTGGATCTTCTCCAAAGAGAAGAATAATCAAAAGCTCAGTATAATCAGAGTCGATCATCTGGGGAAAGGATCATCACTTCCAACCACCATTAACAAGATGAAAAAGTAACTGTTTCTGCTATCAAAGACACTTGAATCTTAGGGCTTATAAAACACCTATCAGTGTCGGCTCTCACACAACACCAATCAAGAGATAGATCGAAAAAAACTCCAAACCCCCAGTGGAAATAGTCCAAAAGCACCTGAAAATTAAACCAAAACCTTAGGCTAACAACAAGAGAGAGTAATAGAAAATTCGCAAATGGCATGGAGGAAACAATTGAGAAGAGATGGACATAAAAACCCTACAGAATGAGAGAGGGAGAGAGATGCTGACTTGGAGATTTGGGACTGAAGCCTGTTATTTATAGAGTAAGAATTGAAAACCCTAAACGTAATCGCAATATAAAAGATTAAAAGGGTGGTGTTTTGGTGCCACGTGTACGTCTACGATTAAGTCTTTCATTTCATTCCAAGAGAAGCGTTTAGGGCATCAAGGATAAAAAGGTCAACTGGGCAGCCTGGGCCTGGGCCTGGGCTCAAGACATTGGTGATTGCATGAGCCGACAGATTATAGCGGATTATGGTCCTCATTGCTCATCAGGTCAAATGACTCAAATCAGGACCTTACATCAACTCCATTATCGCTCAAATTGTCTATAGATCTAGAAGATATTTGGAACCGATAGGCATTTATTCAATAAAGACTATTATATAGGTGTCATTTCAGCATTTCTCTCATTATACAAATTCATATGCATAGATATTTACAAAACTGGGCATTGATTTATGTGTGTATTATCGTTTAGGGAAGTTTCATTTTAGTGCTTTTCCTAATGGGTATGTTTTTATTCACTGTTTTACTGATAAGGTGCCTAATAACACCTAGTAGCACCTATGTGTCAAAAAATGGATACATTATTGTTTTTCTCGATTTTACAATTAAATCAAATACAAAATATTTAACGAATAAACGTCCACAATTCTAAACACATACCTAAATGACTCCAGCTTATCATACACGTCAAGACCATGACCCAACTTTATCAAATTGGTGCCTAAGTTCTGTATGAGTTATTTTTGTGTGAAACTCTTCCCACAAAATTACCTTGCTGGTGTTGGTTTTATCGTCGTTTTTGAGAAAACGGTGAAAGATTAGAGTGAATAACAAAAAGGTTAAATGAGATGAAATTAAAAAAAAAAAAAGCAACTTATCGAAACATGGCGTTTAACATGAAGTGAAAGATTAATGTCCATATCCATGTCAATGATACAATTATTTCTGATTGATATTATGTAATTATTGGATTTTCATTTTGCAACTCATATTTGATTAATAATTGGATCAAATTTAGATTTAATTTCATCCAATATAGTTATATTGATTTAACTTAACTGCTTTAATTTTTAAAATACAAAAAAAAAAGTTAATTACTTTAATTTATTATATATAAAAGTTGAAAAGTAACTAAAGTAATTAACTTTTTTTTATTTTTTTTTTGTATTTTAAAAATTAAAGCAGTTATATTAAATCCAAATCTAAATTGAGTCCATTAGGATTCAAATTTGAATCCTAAGTCTCCAAATCCAATTAGATTTTAGATCAGATTGAGATTCATATGCAAATTCTCAATAATCAAACCGGATCCAATGGATTATAGCCCTATATGTACATGTAGTATTGCATTTCCCAATAAAAGAGTTTACATGAAGAGAGGGGAGAAGAGCTATTATTTCCATTGGGAGAACAAGGCGGAGAAAACCCGTGTTTCTAGCAGCCCTTGTTTCTCTAGCATGAAAAGAAGATGCAAGCGAATTGGGATCTGCTCCTCACAAAGCACATCTCACAAGGACTTCACAGCCCCATCCCACTGTGTATTGGGAACATACCACAAGCATAAAAGAATGCATTTATGTTGTGGTGTATTCCAAAACCAAACGAAAAACACTCTCCCTATATTTTTGTTCTTTGCGTTGAAGCACTAGCAAAGAAACTAAAAAAGAATCTCTGAAAAAAAAAACAAACAAAATCCCTAATTGGTTGTAAGGTTTCTAGAGGAAGTCCAAAAATACCAATTTTATGGTTTGCAGATTGCTTGATATTCACTGAGACCTCAATAACATGATGTTTGAAAATAAAAAACATTCTCACTAAATTTGATTGTGGCATTTGGCTAGTGCCCAAACTTTTCAAAATCTGTGTTCTAATTTTCTAAAAATATGTCAAATAGATTCCAAAAAATCTTAGCAACAAATTTGAGGATCCCAATCTAAGCAAAGTTTGATATCTATTTGGGAGCCCCGATAATAAATTGTAATGTTTCAAATGACACATTCTCGAATCTCAAGGAAAGGGTAAATAATAAACTAACAAGTTGAAAAAAAAAAAAACACTTTATCCTTAATAGGTAGAATGACCCTTCCAAATGTTACAATGAATATGATGTCACAATTCCTCATGAGTTCTTTCAAACTTCCCCAAAATATCATAGAGAGGCATAGGGCTAAAAAACCTTCAATTGGTTAATGAAGATAACTTAGCAAAGCTGTGATGGAAAATTTTATTTAAGAGTAATAACCTCTGAGTTAAAATTGTTACAGCAAGGTATCTTTAGAATTAGGACTTTTGGAATGTTAAGGAAAAGAAAGGTATATCATGGGTTTGGAGAGGAATCCTTAAGGGAAGAGGATCTCTTTAAAAAAAAAGGTTTAGGTTGGGAGATAAACAATGGCAAATCTATTAGATTTTGAAAAGATATTTGGGTGGGTAATGTCCCATTGGACCAAGTCATCCCCCCGAATAGGATTGATAATGGTAACCTCCTTATTAGTGAGGTTATTGATCAGAATAGGGGTGTGTGTGGATGGAAAATAGAATGTGTAGCTCCGCTGCTTTGAATACTTGGGGGAAAATAAAATCAATCTTTATCCCCTCTAACTCAAAAGAGGATAAATTAGTTTGGAGACTTAACTCTAATGGGAAATTTTTAATTAAGTCAGTATACAAATTGAAATGTAGAATGTTTCTTAATGAAAAGTTGAACTCAAAGTGGAGCTCGATTCTTTGGAATGTAAATTGTCCCCCAAAATTAAAAGCTTTCATCTACCTCTTCTAAATAGAAGACTCCCAACAAAAATGCCCCTTCAAAATAGAGGTGCCAATGTGGATGAAAAATGTAAGTTTTGTGGAGGTAACAAGGATGTTGATCATATATTTAAGAATTGTATAGTTGCTAATCAAATATGGGATGCAATCAAACCTGTTTTAGAAGGATCTACAAGCATAAACTCTTCCTTGGAGGAGTGGTGGATGGAAATTGGTAAGAAGAATTCAAATTGATGAAACAATGAAAGAGAAAAGTGTTTATTCTTATTATGGTATATCTGGAAGAATATAAATAAAAAATCTTTTAATAATGTGTCAATCCCTATTCAAGTAGTGATTGATAGAGCTCTCTTGTCCTTTTTAGAATACTATGAAACCAGAATGAAGCCTAATGGGGTTGATTCCCATAAGTTGTGGAAGTATGTTGTTTGGCAGCCTCCAAAAGTTGGTACTATCAAAATAAATTTCAATGCATCTTGGCTAAACAACAGGTTATGCTCAGTTGCAACCATTGCTAAAAATTTTCTGGGAGAGGTTGTAGATTACAAGGCTTATCACCTAGGTCCTGCAACCATTAACTTGGCAAAAGCATGGGCTGCATGGGAGGTTCACAATCTGGCAACGAATTTCTCTAACCATCCCATCATCGTCGAAGATGACTCATTGATTGTAATCTCCTATCTGAAGCGGCTCATCGACCACCCTGATATCTGAGGAACATCATTGAGGAGTATCTGGAATTGAAGAATCATGCAAATGAAGAGTTTTTCTACAATCACGTGTTTCAGGAAACTAATCAAGATTCGGACAGGCTCGCCAATTAAGCTCTTTCATCTGAACAGGGTACAGTCAATCTCAATCTCAGTGACCTTCCATGGAATTTGGCTTTTATTTGTATTTCTGATTTATGGGGACGTGCTACCCCCTGTCTTGTGTAGCCCTCTTTGGTTATACCCCAACCATTTTCTTAAAAAAAAGTCAAAAATGCTGTCATTTTCTCAAAAAAACTGCCCATCTTAGAAAATGTCATTTTTGTTCTTTTCCAAAAGTGTTTTCGTAGTATGATGGCTGATGTAACACTTCCATTGTGCCATTTTCTCATAAAACAGCAATAGAACCAAACATCAAGCATAAACATTTTCTCAAAAATTAATTGGAAAACACAATGAATCAAATGGCATTGCATAAACGCTTTTTAAAAATAAACACAATGGAAAAAAAATGTAATGGAAACGAACACCTCCCTTGTGTATCCTACGGTTGACTCTCTTTTCCTTTCTTTTTTTTTTATATTACATTAGGGTTGGGACAAAAGAAGGTGGACAATTACCAACTGATGGGTGGTTAAGTTGGCATAGTAGTTGGCTCGTCATAGTAGAGACTTAGGATCGCATCCTGTTGCCACTAGGCGTTGGGGGTGATTAGCGATGGAGCGGAGAATTTTCTTTATTTGTTTCTGGGTGGGAGTATGTTAAACAAAAATAAATGACATAGGGAATATAAGAGGTAGGGTTTGGAGAAAATAGACTAAGAAGGTTTGGATCTACTACATATTTATTTTTAAGAAAAAATAAACAATTGTTTTTTTTTTTTATTTTAGGAGTTGAATGAGGTTAGAGAGTAGTCCACTTTATTACATTTTTTATCCTGCCCCCACTTATTTGGGGGAGGGCAAAGACCCCCCACCAATATACTTGGCTCTGCCTCGGGTGAGGGATATGGTTTTAACAACAACCAAACACTTTATTTTTGATAATATAAACTTGATAAAAATGATTGCCTTGATAAACAAGTGTTTCAACCAAAATTTTCTCATAGTTACCATTTTGGATATAAAATATCTATACTACTTTAAACAAGCACGAATAGCCGCAAGAATATTTTTGGAATTTTCTGAGGATGAAATTTGTCCTTCCATATTTAAATTTATTGATAAACAATTAAAGCAAATAGGATAATCAATTATTGATATTAAATGAGTTGAAAATAGGAAATTTCAAGATATCCGATGCATTCAATTCCCTCTCATTAAATCCAACATTTAAGGTATTAATTTGCATTTACCTTCATTGAATCATATATTTAAAGTACTTTTGTTTCTTTTCATCATTAAATTCTATTAATTAAAAACATACATAATAAATTAATAATTTCAATAACATAAAAGTTTATACTTTTAAAATCTACTTAAAAAAATAGTGTTTTCATCTAGATGGTGG